GAATAGTTCAAATATTAATGAATAATTGTTTGCAAACTGAAGGGACAGAGATTTCAAATGCAGTAATAGGGAGTCGATAAGCTGAACGCAATACTTACAGTTTTCAAGAATACCAATTGAAGTCATAGTTTTTACGAAAATTTGCTAAGTAAAGCAAATTATTTCCAGTTCGCTTCCTTAAGATGAAAGACTACAAACTAATATAGAGCAGCTATGTTAGTGAAAATAATTTAGAAATGTATCATTTTATATATATGTATATATATATATATATATATTGTAATTTGTAAACTGTCCCTTATATAAGTCAGAAATGGCTTGAAGGCAGAAAACAACAAAAAAGGCGAAGCTAGCCTGGGGTTTTCTTGGCAAGTTTCTTCAAAGGGGGTTTGCCAATGAACGTCCTCTGAGGCTGAGAAAGTGTGACTTGCCCAAGGTATGCTCTTCATATTATTTTTTAACTTTCCAGATGCCTTTTGGATTACAAATCCCATCAACCCAAGAAAACACAGCCCAAGCTCTGGAAAACCCCTTATAACTCGAGGGGGGGAGAACCTATAGTCCTCCAGATATTCCTTGGACTGCAAGTCCCATCAGCCCAAGCCAGAATGGCCCAAGGTTAGGGAAACCCCCTTGAGCACTGTGTCTCTCTAGATATTTATTGGACTACGAATCCCACCATCCTAAGCCAACTAAACCCCTTAGAACCTGTGACCCTCCAGATATTTCTTGTACTACAAGTCCCATCATCACAAATCAACATGACCAAAGGCTACAACACGGGTGAAGGGATCCACAACCATCTATATATTGGACTACAAGTCCCATCAGCCAAAGCCAGCACGACCCAAGGCTAGGGAAACCCTGTAGAGCATGAGTCGGAGGACCTGGACCTTCTATTTACTGGACTGCAAGTCCCATCAGCCCAAGTCAACAAGGCACAAGGTTAGGGAAACCCCCTAGAACACACATGGGAGGGTTTTTAAAAAGCTGTGGACCCCTCCAGATATTCCTTAGACTACAACTCCCATCAGTCCAAGTCAAAACACCCCAAGTTCAGGGAAACCCCCTAGAACACAGGTGGGGGGGCACTGACTCTCTATTTACTGGACTACAAGTCCCATCATCTCAAGTCAACATGACCCAAGGCTAGGGAAACCCCTTTGAACATGTATGGGGGAACCTGTAGCCGTCCAGATACTTCTTGGACTACAACTCCCATCAGCCCAAGCTCAGGGAAACCCCTTGGGCATGCGTGGCAGGACCTGTAGCCCTCCAGATACTTCTTGGACTATAATTCCCATCAGTTCAAGGTCAAGAAAACCTCTTTGAAGGGCTAACCCCTTCAAATATCTCTTGGACTACAACTCCCATCAGCCCAAAGTCAGGGAAACCCCTTTGAACGTGGGTGGGGGAACCTGTAGCCTTCCAGGTACTTCTTGGGCTACAAGTCCCATTAGCCCGAGGTCAGGAAAAGCCCCTGGAACATGGACGAGGGAACCTGTAGCAGGCAACTTGGGGTGGGGCTGCTGGGAGTTGTAGTCCAAGGCAAGTTCCCCCTCCCTCTCTCTGAGGAAGGGCAGCCAGAATCGAACCTTGAGTGCCGCGCATGCGCTCTCTCACCTGGCTCCACAGCGGAAGCGGGGCAGCAGAAGGGTCCTGGGGCCACAAGAGCCAACGGGCGCCCACCTCTTTCTCTCTCTTCCTTGCAGTCTTCTCTAGAAACTTTTGGCCCCTCCCTCTTTCCTAGCCCCGCCCCGTGTGGAAAAAATAACACGGGCGGGCGCTGATTGGCGGAACTCAGGCAGGAGGGCGGAAAGCAAAAGGGGAAAGGGGAGAAAAAACAGCTCACGCAAAAGGAGGCGGGGCCTGCTGTTTTTGCTGTGGAGCGCTGGTGGCGCAATGGTTAGGCGCTAGTATTGCAGCCCCAAGGTTACGAGTTCGATCCTGAAGGGCTCCAAATCTTTAATAGAAGAAAATTGCTCTCACATTGTAAACCTAGTGCTGAGTTCACTATGAAGCGATATAGAAATGTGAAAGAAACATAGAAAAGTGCATTGCTTTAAAAAAAGCAATGATTCCCAAATTCCAATCTTTTGGACTTTAACTCCCAGAATTCTTGGCCATTGGCCAACATGCCTGAGGCTTCTGGGAGCTGAAGTCCAAAACAGCTGGAAGACCAAAGGGGCCACTGCTTTCAAGGGAGAGATGCGGCTGCTGTAAATAGGTCTGATAGTCCTAATGAGGAATCTGCATTCAGGACAAGAGGCTAGAATAGAATGGTTTCCAATTGGGAAAGGAGTCAGACAAGGCTGCATCCTATCTGTTAAACTTATATGCAGAACACACTATAAGAAAAGCAGGCTTGGACACAGAAGGAGGAGGAGGGAAAATAGG